CTGCGGACCCCTATCCTCTGTAATGCTGATCCCTGTCCTCTGCCCTACTGACTCCGTCCTCTGCCCTACTGACCCCCCGTCCTCCGTCCTGCTGACCCTATCCTCAGCTCTGCTGACCCTGTCTTTTTCCCTGTGTACTGACACTGTACCCCCCCCCCCCCCCCCCTTACACTGGCCAGTATTGTGACATGCTGCCACAGATACAGCCCTGGAAGAGTTTCTGGGAACTGGTGTTCAGTTTATAGTAGAAACAGCAATAGGTAAGCACCCATGTATTGGTGTCAACAACAGTGGCACAATAGTGGTCTTTAGAGGCAGGAGAAATGACCACCCCTCATTGGCATTGTTGGATGAAAAAAAAACACATCCCTCATTGGCACTCAGTGTTTACTTACCTGAAAACATGCTACCACATTGCTTTCTCCTTCCATGTCAGGCCAGAACAACACTGTCCCTGATGGAAGTGATCTAGCTGACGTGTAGGGTGGTCAGTAGACGCAGAGTGCATTCCAGCATTCAGAACCTCATTGCTACGTGGCACATTATGATTATTATTATACAAAATGTATATAGCACCAGTAGTTTGCGCAGTGCTTTGCACATCTAATAATGCTTTTCTGCACACTGGACACTTTCTATGTTCCGCGTAAAGAAGAACTGTATTAAAATAGCTGAGGCTGCTTAGCAACCAGCAACTATTGAGACAACAAAAATGATTGGTCAGGCTATATATTGTACAACACAGTGTATACGATGAAGTATGTAGCACAGCAATCCTTATGTTGCTGGTCAGTGGGTACAAAAATAAGCCCCCAATGCTGGCCCCATTTTGTAGCAAATATGAAACTCATCACTAGTGTTATGAATAGAAACCACAGGGGGAATAAATGAGGAACTAGGGACTTTAAGGTACCATAGTATATGACAGAATGTAGTATAAAAAAAACAACATTTTATTTATACAAAATGATAAAAAAGCCTGCAACTGCTAACATACCCCAACATATACATATTATATTAAAAATGTGTGTATGAATATGTATAATAGTAATATGTATATGTTCAAGTATGTTAGCCTTTAGATGCTTTTTTATCATTTTGTATCAAAAATATTTTGATATATTTTTTATACTACTTTCTGATATATATTTGGTACCTCAAAGTCCCTAGTTCCTCATTTATTCCCCTGTGGTTTCTATTTATATAGCATTTTGGGATGTGGTACTGCCTATTCATTCATGGAAGGTTAGGAACAGATTTTCATTTTGTTACTAGTGTTAGTTGGTATTATACACATATGAGCTGCCTTTACACGCATATGAATTTTAATGGCATCCCAGTCTTAGTCCATAGGGTTCAATATTGAGTTGGCCCACCCTTTGCAGCTATAACAGCTTCAACTCTTCTGAGAAGGCCGTCCACAAGGTTTAGGAGTGTGACTATGGGAATGTCTGACCATTCTTCAAGAGGCGTATTTGTGAGGTCAGGCACTGATGTCAGACGAGAAGGCCTGGCTTGCAGTCTCCACTCTAATTCATCCCAAAGGTGTTCTATGGGGTTGAGGTCAGGACTCTGTGCAAGGCCAGTCAAGTTCCTCCACCCCAAAACTCGCTCATCCAGGTCTTTATGGACCTTGCTTTGTGCACTGGTGTGCAGTCATGTTGGAACAGGAAGGGACCATCCCCAAACTCTTCCCACAAAATTGGGAGCATGAAATTGTCCAAAATGTCCCTTCACTGGAACTAAAGGGCCAAGCCCAACCCCTGAAAAACAACCCCCTATCATAACCCCCCCTCCACCAAACTTTGCACTTGGCACAATGCAGTCAGGCAAGTACCGTTTTCCAGGCAACCGCCAAACCCAGACACATCCATCGGATTGCCAGAGAAGCGTGATTGGTCACTCCAGATAACACATCTCCCCTGTTCTAGGGTCCAGTGGCGGCATGCGGCGTGCTTTACACCACTGCATCCAACGCTTTCTACACACTGTTGTGCTAATCCTTCAGAAATTTTGGAGGTCTTTAGCTGTTGACTCCACAGACACACTGTGAGCTTCAGCATGCGCTGACCCCGCTCTGTCATTTTATGTGGCCTACCACTTCGTGGCTGAGTTGCTGTTGTTCCCATTTGCTTCCAATTTGTTACAATACCGCTAACAGTTGACCTATCACGGTACCACTGAGCTCCTGAGAGCAACCCATTCTTTCACAAATGTTTGTAGACATAGTCTGCATGCCTAGGTGCTTCATTTTATACACCTGTGGCCATGGAGGTGATTGGAATATCTGAATCCTATGGCCTATTGGCTGGCTCAATATTTTTGACAATATAGTGTAAGCCCCATAATTGGTGTTCAGTGAGAGCAACTATAAAAGTTATAAAATCCCATCGTTGGTTTTCAGGGGGAATATATAAAAACTTCCATGCTACAGTCTATTTGCACATGACTTCAAAGCCACTTTATTAGTTACACCTGTTCAATTCCTTGGTAACACAAATTTCTAATCAGCCAATCACATGGCAGAAACTCAATGCATTTAGGTATCTAGACGTGGTGAAGACGACTTGCTGAAGTTCACACCGAGTATCAGAATAGGGAAGAAAGGGGATTAAAGTGACTTTTAACATGGCATGGTTGTTAGTGCCAAACAGGCTGGTCTGAGTATTTCAAAAACTGCTGATATAAAGGCTGCCCCATTTTCCTCTGATCTCTGACATCAACAAGGCATTTTTGTCCACACAACTGTCACTCACTGGATATTTTTCGGACCATTCGAACCATCTATAAACCCAGAGATGGCTGTGCGTGAAAATCCCAGTAGATCAGCAGTTTTTTAAATACTCAGACCAGCCCATCTGGCATCAACAACCATGCCATGTTCAAAGTCACTTAAATCTCCTTTCTTCCCCATTCTGATGCTCGGTGTGAACTTCAGCAAGTCATCTTCACCAGTCTACATGCCTAAATGCATCAGGTTGCTGCCATGTGATTTGCTGATTAGCAATTTGTGTTACCAAAAAATTGAACAAGTGTAACTAATAAAGTGGTCGTGGTTCCTGTTCCCAGCCCCCTCCAGTACCTGTTTCCACCACCCCCCTCCACCTCATATGCATGCATGCCTCCAGTATCCTCCCTACCCTCTGTCCCTCCTCCAGTATATGTCTTAGGTATCCCAATCCCCCCACTTATACATCCCTCCAGCATCTCCGGTTCTTGTCTTCTAACTCTCAACACCTCACACCCACTCCCCAAATAATCCCATTCAAAAATGGACACACATTCAAAAACATCCGCCATGTTTCCAAACAGCTAGGTTACATAGAACAGATCGATACCACATCCCACAATACAGAAGTGTCTCAAAATTCAAGAAAAAAGGAGGATAAGGGACTATATGGTACCTAATAGACAAAGACGATTTTTTAGCAAGAAATACATAAAAAATTTACAAATTTTATTCAATACAACAAGGATAAAAGGCTTACATAGCCATTTAGCATATGACGCACAGTTACTACAGTAGCTAAAATAAAATCTTTGCTGCCCACTGAATTACAATTTCTACACAGATGGTAAACAGTGGCAACACAAACATATAATCAATCAATATTAATCAATATTTCACTCTCAGAATTATATAATAAAACTGGTAGCCACCCCATAAATTCAGGGTGGGGCAGTATGTAGCAGGCAATAAAATATAAAATTAGCATAGTGCCGGAGAGTAGAAGCACGGCTTATAAAATAAATCTTGATTAAGCCAATACATGAACAGCTACAATTTAATGGGCTGCAACCATTGCAAAATACAGCTAAAAATACATGAATTAAAATGTTTTCCACAAAACTGATAAAAGTATTTTAATTTCCAAGTACTATATATATATATTTCTATCATCAAACCCTGTTAAAAGGCGTTGGGTAAACTTTATAGGCAATTGAAATTTCTGTATTTACATTATCTATTAGTATCAGGTTTTAGAAGCCACTAACTGTACTGTGTAGCTCCACCTATGCAGTAAGATTTGAGAGACCCCCACTATATGTTTGTTATGCGTTCCCAATCACACAGTATACCTAAAAATAATTTTAAAAAGTTTCCTTCCTTTCTATTGGGTTCTTTGGAGCAGTTTTATACTCAGGACACTATAAGCAATTTTGTTGCTTAGAATTGTTGGCAATACAAAGATAAGGATGTTTTTCTTAAAAGTCAATGAACCATCCAAGCCTTGAGATCTTTAACCTTTAGTTAGGACAGTGCGTACACCTGGTATACAACCAGTAATGAGATCTGCCAGCACAGTACAGCCAGGGTTAATTATGATAAACAATACTCCCCAGCCCCCTCCTTAACAATACGTATTATGAACATTTCCAAGGAATAACCGCAGAGATTGTTGATCCAGGGAATATCCTTAGCGGAAGAGAAGAACTGTTTCTCTTTCTCTGGGGTGGAGCAAATTGGACCATGCTTTTTTTTGCCTTCCTTTGGATCAACTGTGGACAAAGGCTTCTTTCTATGGAGGTTTTCTATGTATTTAATATTATTTATTCTATTGGTTAAATTAGACTCATTCATGTTTTTATTTCAGCCTGGCTAACTAGGTAATTATGTTCTATCTTCTATGTAACACATAGAGGGGAAGAGCCAAATATGATATTTTAGCAAGGAAATTGCAAGTAAAAAGGTAAGCAGCAATGATTGTTTTTTTTTAAGTTATTCTATGTTAATGGGAACATGTAACAAATATAAAGTAGTTGTTATCTCAATTTGGCTTCAAAAGTGGAGATACACTTTAAATCTTGTGAGAATAAACTCAGTACAGTAGATTTCCAACTGCCCTCCTAAATAATGAATTTGTTAGCAGCAACCAAAGTAACATAACAAGGTGCTTATCTATAGATCCAGCTGAATATATTATCATTTTAATGTAAAAAGATGCAATGGCACAAATAACACCCTCCAAATAGAATGGAAATCATGTCCTGTATCTCACCTGTACCACGTCTTCGTTAATTTTCTTGGGGTCCCTCTGTACGAGGTCGATCTCTTTGGTAAGGGGCTCTGCATAGGGCTTGTTTTCCTTGGCAGGCTCGGGTTGCTGGATTTGGGCCATTTTGTAAGTGTTGGAGAACCTCACCCTCTTCTCCCTCTGTCACCGTCCTACAGCTTGTGTCCCTGTCAGGCTGACCAGCGAGCTGGTAATATAAGTATCTTCTCCACCCTCTCCCACCTTAACCCATCCCTGACTAAGAGGCTCAGTGGATCTGGACAAACCTCCTTTGTTTATCAGTAATATATTTAATGCAGAGACTACAAAGTGGATATGATTCAATTCAAAAATTGTGGTTTGTTTTCTTTTATTGTCCTCTTTTTGTTCTTTTTTTTGGTCCCTTTCTTTAAAGTGGTAACCCAAAAACAAAAATGTAATATATGGCAGCCCATCAATCCTGAAAGCCCCAACTACAGGTAAAAAAAAGTTTTCCCTTGCAGTGGAGCTGTGTCCGCACTGCAAGGGGTTGACTGCTCCTTTTTGTCTAGGAGATTGGATAAGGGAGATGTACTTACCCGATCATCCAATTTACAACATGAGGTCGGTCCTTGCGGCTCCTGCCCCCTCAGAGGTCTAGCGGTCTTGTGCAGTGATGTCATCAAGCCCATAGACCTGCTCTGGGTATGAGGATGTCAGGAACAGTCCACTGCTGGATCATGGGGGGGCACAGTTTGTCACTGGAGCAGAAGATCCGGTGAGTATAAACTTTCTTGTCACCCCTGGACAAAACGAGCAGTTAACCCATGCAGTGCGGACACAGCCCCACTGCATGGGATAACTTTTTTTTTGCCCAGAGCTGGGCTTTAAATGAAGTGGCTCCATTAGTTTTCTTTCTTTGGCTTGTTTTTTTCTTTATTTTCACATGGTCATCCAGCCCATAACACACTTTCTGCCTTAGGGTGTCCCCACTCTGTATGGAGGAACAATGGCAGGAGCAGACTGGGCCAGGGGGCATGGGGGGGGGGGGATTGTCCCCCAAGCCGCTCTGATGCCCCATAAAAAAGCCACACACCGCTTCCACCAAAGTCATGCCTGAAGGCTTCCTGGTGAAGAGGATTAAAAAGTCCTCACCGGTGTCCTACTGAGTGTGGGATGAGGATGAAGAAAGATCACAGACCACCTGTGTTCATGCAGAGGCCTGCTCCGTGCCCCACTGGAGGCTCTCCTCTCTCGGCCCGCTGCCCTGGCTCCCCCTTCCAGCCCCCGAAGGCCCCCCCGCTGGCCAGTTTGGGAACCCAGAGTCAGTGCAGCAGGCACTGTCCAGCTCATCTCACATGGTAAGCAGAGAGTACCTTGAACACAGCTTCAGCCTGGAAAGGGGGTCAGGAGGAAGCAGGGAAAAGGGAGAGTGGGCAGAGGGCAGATTCGCTACACCATGGTCCTCTGTGTTGTACTTGACCTCCTGGGCCTAAAGTTGCCAGTCAGCCCCTGAGCAAAGGAGACATCTTTGGACAGCAGCATAGTCAGTCTGGAGGGAGAAGAGTGTTAGGTGGACTAGCAAATTTAGATGGACATAAAAATGGACTTGGACTAACAAAATAAAGCTAACACTTCAATGCATTTACAGCAACATTTTTTTTCCTTTTGGGATAAATGTTTTACATAAAACTAATGTTTAATTTGGTTTGCCTCAATCCTATTGCTAGACAGCTTGGTCTCTTAAACCCAGTTGAAAACTAACAGACTTGCAGAATCACCAGATGAAAAGTCTCAAAGAAGAAAACAATGCAACCACCAACCCTAAGAATTGGTAAGCTGCAATGTATAACATTTTTGCTTTTGGGTGTAATAATGCTGTAAAGATGAATTTCAGGTAGAGGGTATTTGCCTACAGGGTCAGTCCAAGTAAGAAAACTTGAGACTAATCAGAGCAGTACCCATGGTCATTGACATATTGGGGGGGGGGGGGGGCACTATATAGCTACCTTCTCCCCCATCAGACCTGTGATAACATTGGGAAGTCTATGAGTACCAATGTCCTTTGTGGCTCTGAGATGTCATTTGATCAAGTTCTGATAGCTGCAAAGCATTTTGATGTTGTAAGAGATCAATATGCACCTATCATAAAAAGGCTACTTGGTTGTATTTGCTCCCAGGTACAAAGGTTTCCAGTTCTCCCCTGCACACAAAAAATAGCAATTTGCTAAGATAAATTCTGGTTTCCAAAGTATTGTATCCTGTTGGAATACAGTGTTTATGTATTTTATGCAACATCAGTATTCAGCAGAGAAATATTTTCCAACCAGTAGATAGCAGTGTTTATAAGTTTGTAGCTGTATCTATGATATTCTCTGTCTTGTCTCTGAATAAAGTTTCCTGTTTCGTTGTTGCAGTGAAACAGAAAAGCACATGTAGATTGTGCACTGTCTGTTCTGTAGGGCTATATACAGAATTTCCAATATATCCACATAATAATGCTTTTTAAATGTGCATGTTTGCATTTAATGAAAGTATATACCAGTAAATGTGGAGGGGAATGTCTGGAGGAAAATTATATTAATCAGTTGGGAAGAATCCAATCCAGCCAATCACCTCTCTCCCCAGAGTAAAAATTCGACAAAGGGATGTCAATTATTAAGTGGTGTCTATGCAGCTATGTCAATTTCTTCAATCTAGTTGTGAACATGTTCTGGTGTCTGTAGACACATTTAGGTGAGATAAATGTTTACTCTGGTCTATTATTATTAAATTGTGCTCCTTTCAAAATATTTTGACATTTTAGTGGAAAAACATTCTGACAGACTGGATGATTAATATGAGCACAAACGCAATTCAGTCACATTTAACTATCACGTTAAAGCATAATTGTGGCCTTCTTAATATTAAAGAGCTGACTACATTTATTGGAGGCATCTCCAATGTTTAATTGTGGATGTATATTTTCAACAAGAGTGCTAATAGTTGACGTCTGACACACCCCCATGTCACCCTATTGGCTAGTCCAGGTGTCCCTCCCAATTAGTGGCCATTAAGGAGGTGTGTATATGGGAGAATATGGGGAGGAGCAGGGTTGAGTTTGACTAGTAACCAAATTTGCATAACATAATACAATACCCCGGCGGCTTTTGTAGCAAAGAACCCTGGCTATATCTATATGTAGGGGCTCTGGAAATGTTTGGGCCAAAGCAACTCAATGATGGAGCACAATCAAATATTCAGAGCCCAGCAGGAACAGAAATCTGACTGTAATGTGGAGACACAAGAGATTGGCTGCAGCTGCTGGTCAACAAAAGTTTTTCAGCAACAGAAGTCGAATAGGGACTGCCATACACTGATTGAAATTAATTTGGTTCAGGAGGAGCTAGACTAATTTCTTTGAATATGTGGCTGTCCCTGCTCATCAGAAGTCAATCATTTGATCATTTTCTGTCGAAGGGACATGCTGTAAAACGTTTGTTGATCAGCAGCTGCAGCTGCTGATCAGTGCATGCTGACAGCTGCAGGTCCCTTTGTCATAATACAGTGTCCCTGAATAAAAAAAAAAAACCTATCTGTCTATGGCCAACTTTATTGCAGTATGTTGCATTGCAAACCGATGAGGAATGGCTCTCACTGGAATGCAGGGATCAGGAGCATCGGGCTTTCACAAGAGCCATTGAAGGTATGAATAGCTTCAGGACAGCTCCAGGGCAGGACACCTACCATTGTGCAACCCATGGGATTTCCTAGTTGGATAACCAAAAACAGGCAGAGAGAAACAAAGTGATAAACCCAGTAGCACACAGGATACACAGACAGATAGGAACAACAGAGAGAAACCAATGTCAGAGCCAAGAAAAACTGACAAATATGATCAGCAGCCAAAGCCAATACCGGTCATGTAAACAGGACCAGAAGCTAAAGCCATTACAGGTCAGATAAAGATAAAAAGGTTTAAAGCACTAACCCAAGCACAGTACAAGACAGAAGCTGAAGTCAGGGAGCAGGTACAGGTCAACTTATGTAGATGTACTAGTGCTGCCAGGTGAAAGTATAACCCCTAAATAGCTGTAAGCACAGAACAAATGAGACACAGGTGTATGAGGGGATCCCAAGTGATAGAGGAACCTGAAGAACCCTGGCAAGAAAAGAAGATCAGATACAATACATTAATGGGAAGATACAAAATACTTATGAAATCCTGGTTTTGGGGCTCTCATGGACTCTGGAGCTTCAGTAAACTGACATACAGCTAGCTGTAGGTGCGTGCAATGGGTTCCAGCGGCCAGTTTATTTAAGAGGAATCAGGTTTGTTGTAAAGAATTTCTGAAAACAACTATAATAAATCAATGAACTTCTAAGACTATTGTTTGTTAAGGTTCTCATTTTTCCAGGCCATAATACCCACTAGTAAGTAGTCACAATCAAAGTAGTCAATCTTAACATGCCCTGTTATGTTGAAGACCTTTGACCACTCATCCAAGTACCTTCCTTAGCTCTAATGAGCGTCAGGAACATATCCCATTATAGCCACAGTTGTAGTCCAGTCACCATAAAATGTGCCAAGACACATGTTGATTATGCAATACTTCTCCCTTTCATGGTTCTTCTGCTACCTAAAGGCTTTCAGTGTCATCTTCAACTCTTTCCTCTTCCTCTTTCCATGGGGTTTCCCCAGAGCTCTGTCCTTAGACCCTGTTCTCTATCCACACCTCCTCCCTTGGTTACTTGGTAGCCTAAATTACATGTCTAATGACAGTGTCCAGTAAATATGGCATCACAAATTCTGGAGCAGGTGGTAATCGTCACAGTGCATGATTGAAGGTGTGAACTGTTGTCAAATTGTTGGGGTAGAGATGTTAAAACATCATTAAATGTTAGTGACGGATGGTGCACTCCCACTGTCCATCTTCTTCTGGGTCTCTATGCATGGCTGTTTCTTCTTTCCCCCATACAGTTCCGCCCCATAAAATTCTCCATATACACCCCTTCATTAAGGTGCTTCCCATCTCATACAGTCCTTCCCTATACAATGCTGACACTATAAGAGTTCGCCTCATACAGTCTTTCTATTATAAAGTGCTTCCTCTATAAAACCTTGCCCCCCTACTTGGTGCTGTGTATCAAAAGTTCACAGGATCCCA